TTTTAAATATCGAAGCGATAATCCGGATTATCCGATATCCGCGGATATCGATGATATTACATCCGTATTTGGTTTTAGTATCCGTATCCGAAAAAAATTACGGTCGAGTAACATCGACCCATATTTGCTTCCCCGGTCGAATAAACGAGTGGGCGCTCGAGGGGGCGCTCCGGTGGGGTGCAAAGCGACGCATGGTGCTCAGTGGTGGAAGATCCGGTGGCTCATGTGGATCGACACGACCCTTGGACCTCAATCGCACCGCGCGACGCGGCGCCACGCTCACCAACATGAAGCTGCCGAGTCGCCAACGCCATCGTCGACATGTCCTCGCCCTTGGACGAGTGCCGGCGAGTGCGAGAGCGCCTCGGGGAAGCTGCGTGTGCGGGCCTGGGTTACGCTAGCATCGACCGCACTTCCCCAATGGGCCAATGTCGGTGCGCGACGATGGCCACGGAGGCGACGGGCTGCTTCATATGGACCGGCGACCTTCTCGACATGAGACAGTTTGGCAATGGCGGACAGAATCTCTTCGTCCGGCTTGCGGCATCCGATCTACGTGAGTACTACATTTTTCTTTTCCTTCCTGATGTTCATTCAAATCAAATTGATGACAAGTTTGAGTCGAGCGAAGGGAGCGGAGGAGTCGAGCCAGATGAGGAGAGTGAGAGTGGTCAATACCGGTCAACACGGCCTCCACCTCTAATTCCAACGGCAAGGGGCAACTGAGGTCATTTGCCACAGCGGACCCCACTCGTCAGGACAGCCAAACGGCGCAAATCAAACAGAAGGCGGACAGAATGGCGTGAGAGAGAAAAGTTTTTCGAGCTTGGACACTAACGATAGATCGAACTTTTTAGAGACATAGACGATTAGACCATCTTTTTTAATGGCATACAAGTAAAAGACTCAATGTTAAAAGGCATACACATTCATAAACCTATATTTCACATAAATGTGTATAATCATCATGGTTGGTGTTTCTTAGTTTTGGATTGTATGAAGAGTCATCTTGATATACGAAATATGTGCTGAACTAAATGTTAGGATAGTGTATCAGTAGACTATGCATGAATATCTGGCATCTTTGTTGGACATCTTGACCTTTTCATGAAAAAAAAGATTTCAGTTGTTATGAAGTCATGTTTTTTTAAGGAAAAAAGGAATAGTTCTGGCCTCTACATCCAATTCTTACAAAGTTTTCAACTCAATTGCTGATTATCAAAATAAGGGAAAGAGCAAACACAAATGGAAGAAAAATCATATGTGCAAAATCTATTATTGTTTCTATCCATTCTTGGCAAAGATGTCCAGAACAACAACCTCCAATGCTTTGCTCGCCAAGCTGACCATATTAAGTCATGTAGAGTAGTAATTTGATTTTTCAGTGGCCTGGATAGCAAATAACTTTGGCGCAGCACAGCCATGCCTATAGTTTATTTTGTTTCTGAGACATACATCTTTCTTAGTAAGTAACTGCTATTGGAACCAAGGGCATTGACATTTTTTTCCTTTCACCCCTTGATCTGTTAGTTGTTTAAGTTGAGTCCACAACAAGCAGGTGGAGGCAAGAAATGAGATATCCAAACAATTGGAAAGTGGAATGAGAAAAATGAACTTATAGGGATTTAAGTGATATTGTTAGCATTCAATAAAGCATTAATCTTCTAGTTTACTCTTGTCATGCAATATCTATGACAATTTTTTTTTACCAAAGCTGAATTCTGGCCTTTCTATTGATAAGTTGAGACATTTTCCACTTCCATCACCTGTCTGTCTGGATAGGCAGCCAAACTTTAAGGGCACACAGTATTTCATTTAATACACAAATTTGTTAAGCTACAGCCATGGTCTGAATTTTACCATTTTCAGAATTTTGTGGGTGGTGTGGTTGATCGTTACTTCTGATATAAATTGTGTTCTGACCTGCAATTGTAACCTGATTTTTAGTTGTAACCCAGTGATGGCATGGGCGTTACCTTCTAACCTGTACTTTAGCCAGTGCCTGTTAAGTTTGATGATAAAGAAGGTACGAAACAAGAAATGCAAACCAGTCACCGGTCCAAAAGTTTAAAACATCTAAGTAAGGTATCCAACAGTTCAATTTTATTTTAACCTAAAGCACTGATTTTATTTAACTTTTGGATCAATAGGATTCCACTATCTAGATAAATTTTTTTTCGGAAATGACTATTTCAACAAATATTTATAAAAATAGACCCAGGTTGGAACCTTGACATTCTAGTTTCAAGATTAAAACAGTCTAGTTTCAACATACGAGTGCAACAGAATATGTCATTAGCTTACGTTCTATAAAACGATGGATGAAAAGGCTGGGATCTATAAGCTTCTGAATAAATGGATGCTCTGAAAGTAGCAAAACTTGGCAGAGCTGAAGAAAAACAGCACCTAGGACATAACTGAAACAAAAACCCAAGTGAGCCCCTTCATTGAGTTATACTAGATGAAGGGTCAAAGAGTTGGAATACTCACACACTTATTTGTAGATAGTCAGAGAAGTCGATAAGAAGATAGGCTTTCTTACTTTGCCTAGCAAGGAAAGAAGGTAAAACTAAACATTAGTACTACAATATAGCTTGCTGAAGCAACAAAAAATTAAAAAATAATAAAAGAAAGACAAAAGTAGAATAAACTTTGCAAGAGATACCAACAAAAGCATGAAAGTGAAAAGTAGTAATTTTCAGGATTAAGACAGATACAATAAACTAAATTGGGAATTCAGCAATAATGAATGAAACATAATAATAGTCAATCATGCTTGCGGACTAATCGTAGTGCATACCTGATCGCCAATGCACCGATCAGCCCGACTAATCATGGCTAATCGTGAATATTTGGATGACTTGATAACACTGGAAATAAAAAGGAACAGGTCTAATACATCCTCACTGCTAAGAACTCAACAGTAGAAAATTTAGTTTGTAACCTCAACAGTGGTGGGGTATTCTTAGAAAGTATTATAATAAATATGCGGGGAACATATATGTCTTGTTTACATGGAGGAATGCCGCATATATTAACAAAGCCTCTTGAACGAGTATGCCATGCGCCCATGCATTTTTATGGCCTGGAAAAGCTACTTGTGTTATAGTTTAGACATTTAAACATCCTAACCCAAATGCACCACTGAGAGGAAGCTTCTCAAGGTTAATTTTCTACTTAGAGGCCAGAATCACAGGGGTAAAGTAGTGAGCCTATAATTAGGTTGTAGTATACCGGTAGGCAATGTAAAGGCAAGCAGCTCACATCAACCTGTGAAATTTTGAATGAATTTCAATTCCTGCTCAGTTCCAAGCAATGCAGCAGGCTTGCACTTTGGTATCTTATTCTTATCAAACGGAGCCTGCTATCTCAATTCTTCGATTGCATTTGAATGTTGCAAGCTTCTTGGTAATAAGCTTATGAAGTTGCGTTTCTCTGTGTATCTGAAACTATTCTACATGTCTTTTCATCAGGTGAGGATGATGCTCGTCAAAAGCTCCCCTCTCCTCTTTTTTTTTGGCTATTTTTGTCATCAACTGCTGCTCTATGTTTGCTAAGCAGCTGTTGCTTTTTTTTGCCAAATCACCCCTCTCCTCTCCTCTCCTTTGTTTTGCTGATGATGAAATTGTCTAAGTCCATACATTATATGGAATATGAGCTGATGATCAAGAACTTATGAGAAACTTGGCATCATTACCAGCCGCCCCTACTATCCTTTTTTATATGCTCACTATTTTTTATATATGCCCATTGTGTTTATAATGCCTTTATGCTCCAAGTTCTTTATCAAATGATGATTGACATGTTCCCAACATACTAAAATTAGTTATTACTATTTTTTTTAAAAAATACTTTTGAATTTAGCCATTTACTAATTATAATGTATATGGACTATTTATGTAAGTACTTTTTTCAACTTGTCATACTTTTTATTAAAATTATGCCTTTATAGATTTTGTTTTGTATGGAATTTGCTTTTAGGTTTTTTTTATTTCCAACTCATATGGAAATTAAATTATTATTTTTCTTGATTCGTTTATCAGTTTGGATTTGCTGTCTATTAATTGTATTAGAGATGGATTGTTTCGTTAATCTAAGCCATTAAGTTATCAAAAACATCTAACAATGTAGATTCTTTTTTTCTTTATTTAATCTTAGATCATCGTAAAATCTAGCGGGTGTGGGTCTTTTCTTCTTTCCTATTTTTTGAGTTAATCTCATAATTATATTAGGCATGGACTCTTTAATTATATCTAATATGCCATTAGATAATAAAAAAATCAATGACATAGGTTGTTATAATCATACAATTATATTAAGCGTGTTTTTTGGGTAATCTATATGTTAGATCATCATAAAATCTAACGATATAAAATTTTCTTCCTTTTTTGATTAAACCTGTAGCTTTTAAATTCTCTTGATAAATGTGAGCGATCATTATATTATTGTATATATTACTTGCTCCGTTCCAGATCATTAGATATTTTATTTTAGCTTTTCTAAATATATTGTTATAGTACGTATTTATACATATTATATATCTAATTACATAGTAAAAATAAAAAACTAAAATATCTTATAAATTAGAATGGAGGAAGTATCTTTTAGCACGGGTTGATAGATCAGGGTGTTTGCGATTGCAGATTTTAGTGTACACCTTTTATGCAAATGTGCAAATGGTGAGGAAGACGTACACCAAAATATCACATCAGCCCTTATATTATTAATTTATTATCAAAAAAAGAGAACAAAGTCACATGAGGCGAGCCCCTTTATATGCATCCAGGTGTGAACACCAAAAATGCGTCCCAAAACAAAGACCAGGCTCACTTTAAAGTCCTGTGCAACCCATCAAATACAGTAATAATACTCGTGGTGGTCATTAACAGTGTTAAACAAGAATCAAAGCCAAACTGCGCATTAATTAATCAATTATGTTATGTGTGTTGTGTGCAGGCTCTGTCACTTTGCAGCCGCGACGGCGAGCACCTGGACAGAGATCACATCACGATCACGTCAACGTCGGACGAGTCGCAGAAACCGCCGCCACCGGCGGCGAACTCGTCCTCCAGGTCGTCCAGCAGCTTGGACCCACCGACGTCGAACCGCTGGATCCTGGCCCCGCGCCTGAGCACCTTCTCGTCCTTGTCGTCGAAGCCGACGCAGCCCCGCGCGCAGAACTCCCGCAGGTCCCTGCAGCCGGCGAGGATTGCGAGCAGCTGTTCCCTGGGCAGGTAGGAGCGGTCGAGGCAGAGGGAGCGGAGCCCGGGCAGGGACCGCGCCAGCGCCGCGGCGTCCTCGGGCTTGACGGCCCCCGAGGTCTTGAGGCTGGCGAAGCCCGGGCAGTGCAGCGCGAGCTGCGCGGCGAGCGCCGGGAAGGAGGAGGACGGCTTGGTGTCCAGCTCAAGGTGCTCCAGCAGCGGCCACCGCGGGATGAGGTCCAGCAGGCGCGCCTCGTCGCCCGCCGTCAGCTGCGGGAGCGCCAGGCGCCGCAGCCGGGGGCAGCTGCACGTGGGATGGACATCGAAGCATGTGAGACGTGCGTCCGTGTGTGAGGTGACAAGACGCGTGTTCGTGTGATGGACACCGAAGCAGAGGCGCTTACTGGAGCGAAATGTGGACGATCTCGTCGGCCGGGTCGGCGAGGAGCGGCGGGAGCTCGACGCCCTCGGCGGACCCGCGCGCTCGCGAGACGCAGAGCCTGAGGAAGCCCGCGAGGGAGAACCGGTGGACGGCGTAGCGGCGCGCGAAGGCGGCGGCGAGGGGGCCCCAGGGCATGAAGCGCGCGAGGTGGTCCCGGCGCAGGTCGAGCGCGCGCCACAGGGACGGGTCGGCGGCGGCGCGGCGCCAGCCCCGGCACACGAGCGGGGCCGACGCCGCCAGGTCCTCGAGGTCGAGGCGCGCGAACACGTGCACCAGGCAGTCCGTCTCCATGTCCGCCAACGCCGCCGCCGTTTCCATGGGTTGTGCGGTCGAGGAGGCGAGGGTCCCGACTAGTTGGGACCAGAGAGACGGACGGGGCAGCGCAGCGGTGGAGTCGATGGGCGATTAGACTTTGCGAATGGTAACACTCGAGAGAGAGACAGAGAGAGAGCGGCAACCGGCCGCCTTTATAAAGTTGCCGTGGTCACTTCTTGTGCTTCTGCTTGTGGGGCCAGCGCACGTGCCACGTCTCGCGAACCATTCTTTTTTTTGTTTTCCTTTTCGTCCATTTCGCTTCATTACTATCGATCGGGATTTTTGGCAGTTGCCTCAGGCGTCAGCCGGTCAGCCCAGTATACCAATACGATACGCCGTCGTCATGGACACGACACGGCAGCGGTGGTCACGTCGTCATCGATAGCGAAAGTCAGTTGGTTCGCTGAATCGCTGTGTACGTCGTCATCGATAGCGAAACAGTTGATACGCCGTCGTGGTGGACACTGCGACTGGGATACGGCATTCGCTTTTGCAGCATTTCACTGCTGCAGAGGCGCCACTTGGTTGAAAAATGGAGATTTCCGATCTATATGGGATATCTGTCCGGGGGCAGGCCAGGGATAACATGCTAGTGGCTGTGCGGCACTAGCTAAGGGCCTGCTTGATTGATTTGTTTAGGATTAGTGTTGTTTCTTCAAAATAAAAAACCAGTCACCTAATATTTGGTTAAGTAAAGTTTTGTTTTTTGTGTTGCATTGTTTGGATCACCCAATAATTAAAAGTTCCTGAATACTAGTACTCCTACTGCTACCTTTTACTCCTATATAGATGAGTTTACCTATAACTAATTAATGGACTACTAACTGTTACTGTAGTTGGGGCTCAAGTACAGTAATTTTTTTTTACTAGTTGTTAGTTCATTAGTCTGCATGTTTAGATAGGCTAGGCCTGAAATTTAGCTGCTACGTACTCTTTGATCTACACACATCGATCAGTGCTACATCACGTCGTTGGAAGTGGGAACACATGAAACATCTAGCACGACGACGCACTAACGAGAATTATTAGCGACAGATCAAAAGTGCGTGGGGGCAGATTGGATTGGTGGATTGCATGCCGACCTCGGTTCCCTCGTCCTCGTTAAATTCTGTAGCAGTCCATATAGGGAGTGACACAAGGAATTCTAGGTGATGATGATACGGCTTAAAACCAGAAATAGCAACAGGGCATCCATGCATGCATGCTTCAAGGAGAACGAACCAGCAGCTAGCAATACATTCTGACGACGTACGTACGCCTGCAGTGCAGATCAATAATATCTAGTTCTGGCTATTAGGGTGGGTCGTTAATTAGCTTGGAAATTAAACCAGACTTATTCTTCAGCCTGTAATTAAATAAAATATTGTTAAATTCCTGATAGCAGTCTACATAAACGCCGGCCGCACGGCGCCGATCAGCCTGTTCGCTTGTTGGTTTCAGCCAGTGCTTATCAGCCAGCAACAGTATTTTCCTCTCACAACAAACCAGCACCAGCCAGATTTATCAGTCTAGAAACTAACCAACGAACGGGCTCAATAGTAGGAGGAATAGGAATTGGCCCGTGTTTATTTATTTGCCTTCCCTTCCCTCTCATCGTATTGTTGAGCGATCGTTCCTAGGTTTGGACTTAAGAGTACACGTTTCCGACGAAGCACCCCATGGCTGTCTCTATTAATTCTTCCAGTCTATTTTTACTCGTAGCCTCGCCTGGTGGTAAGTGGTAGCCTGGGGTGTGTGTGTATATATATATATATATATATATATATATATATAGACACACACACTACTACTACTACAAGGTCTGGTAGGCCAATAAGCAGGTGTTCCACGCTAGCATGCATCACGCATCGCTGAATTCTCATTGCTTGACTGACCACGGGGGAAAAAAGGTTACGGTCTTCAAAGGACGTCGCAATGGTCCAATATTGGTCGGTACACGTACCAAAGTCCGGTCCGGCCGGTCCCTGGAGTACGAACAAGAAGGGAACCCTTTTTAAGCTAAGCTAAAAAGGGAGAACATCGTATATATGGTCTATATATAATGCAAAGAGTATCGTTCTCACTTACCAAATATTTATAGTACATAATAAACATCAATAGATTAATTGTAAAAATATTTTTAAAATTAACTTATTTGGAGATACAGATTGTTCATATATTTTCTACGAACCTAGTCAAACTTAACAAAATTTTAACCTGCACAAGATCCTAGACAAGTTCTTTTTGTGTGTGTGTGGGGGTGGGGGGGGGGGGGGGTAGCAGTTCCCCAGCTATAGAATGTTGTGCACACTCTCATTATCTGATGATATAAAAATAAATTTCACGTGACATGTAACTTGAAAGAAAAAGGCTTTTCTGATTGATTGACGCTCAACTGCGCATAGAACTCTCTCTTTGTTTGGTTAGGCACAGAAAACATTTCTCCTTCTGTAGCGGCTACTCTACATTTATTATTGGCTAGTTGCCGTTTCTTGTCTGGTCCACTCTGCTTTCTGCGACAACTATCCTAATAAGGTCCGAGATGTCAAAATCAATGACCAGCAACTGAAAGGTAATTATACGATAACATAAGAGAAACTGAGCTAAAAAATCAAACTATTTTTTGTTCTCTTTTGTGTTTAAACACTCAGAATTCTGGCAAATATACTTCCTCTGCCCCAAAATTTATTGATTGGATCCCATCATTTAAAACTTGTCTCAAAAAATAAGATATTTGGGATAAACTAGGACACTGTTAATTGAACACTAAGTCTTATATAGAGATCACAATGGATTTGCACCTGATAAGTTATCACCCACCCATACCCATATCTATTATTATTATTATTTTGTATCCGCAAAGAAACCCATACCTATGTCTTGCTTCCCATAACCATGCTCATGCGAGTAGTTGATACCCATGAGTTGCTTGTACCTAAGAAAAAATATAACATATGCATTAAACTATGACTACGTGAGCAAATAATAGAACAACAAATATGTAGCAAATGTAGCAGAAAAATTATATATATGTGGCTCCTTCTTATATGACACTAGGTGTGCTAATTAGGCCACATTTTGGAGTACATTAGATTGGGGGTGAATTTAAATTGTAGTTGCATACGTACTCATGGCTTTATGGATTCGAGTAGTACAGAACTATACTCGTACCCACGAACTCAATAGGTAAGAATTTTTACCCATTAACATACTCATAAGTAAGTAATTAGTCTATACCCATGCCATAATGGATTAAAACCCATCAGATTTTGGATCGCGGGTACCCATTGACATCCTACTCTTATCCTTTGTTACCCCCCCCCCCTTCTCCCCCCCCCCAAATCAAGTGTCAATCAAAATATCTACAATCTACTTTGAGATTGCATCACGATGCACAGTAAAACATTTTGTCAAACATTTCCATACTTGCATTGACTCCCCCTTCTTAGCGATCCTAACTCTTGAAAAGGTCTTCAATGATTAAGTCTTCACTTGCAATACTCGACTCCTCCATGACCTGCTTGATCTTGAGTCCTCGATTAATTCTCTTGACTTCTTGATTGACCTGCATCTTCAATCTTGAGTTATTGGATCTTCTTGGCAACAACCATTAGGGATGTCTCCATTTTTCAAGCATCATGGCCCATCGTTAACACTTGATGTTCTAAACCATATGCTAGCCACACATGCTAAAGGTGTCCTCAACTCAACTTCTTCATCAATGCTTGAGGACACTTCTTTGTCTTCATGATTTCTGGCCTAACATTATCTTGTTTCTCCGAAACACACACATTAGTCACTAAAGCAGAGTTGTCATTAACCACCGAAAACACTTACCTAAGGGGCCTCGAAGCTCACATATACAACCCCATAATCGTTGCTGACGACAAAAACACCGACAAGACACAAATTGAGGTGCAGTGCAGATGAAAAATATATAGAATAATAATCGGTAACTAAAGCCTATTCAATCAGACAAAGATAAGAAAGTATATAAAACAATGTTCTATTAGAATATGAACAGCTTAAGAGAGGGCAAAGGTAAGCAATTTTGATTATTTGTGGGTTCCAAATTTATCTTCAAATTGTTAACACTTAGTTAAAATTACTAGCTCGTATAGGAGCATGGGTTGATAGAATTGTTACTTTAATTTTCTACGTGTCAAGTTTATATTCTGTGTACAAAATGTCACTTTGTTTGTGTGCTAGCTAGCTGAGGTCAATGTTTCTTGACCATTTGGACATATTATTGCACACGAGACCTAATAATTGAACGAGAAGAAACACGCACCACACTTCTAGAAGGTATGTGGGTAGCTAGGGTAGGTGTTTCCCTGTTTTGCTAGACTAGTGAAAAAAAGAGGACCTACGAAATACACGATGATGCATGTTTCTCCCGTGCATGTATGTTCCTACCGGATCAAAAGGGAGATCAACATCATCTCGCCACAATGATCTCTCCCATGAACACGTAAGAACAACCAATTCGTCAAATTCGCCCCCAATGGCGGCGAACCCACGCATTTGCCAAGCAGATAAATTAATTGTTGCCGAATTCTCCGGTAATCCGTAATAATAATGTTAATTAATAAGTAGTGATGTTGTTTTTGTTGTACATATATAGAGAGAGTAAACATAAAGCTGGATCTGTCATTTTCTCTAATCCCAGTGAGAAACACCTTTGCGGACCTGTCTGTCCGTATGGACAACAAGGACGACATGGCCAAATATCGATGTGGTCTCCAGGTGGCGCACATCTTCTAGAAGCTTTGGTGTCTTGTTTGTTACGAGCTGGTGTGACGATGCATCCAATGCAACGTTATTTTCCTTCTAGACTAGAGTACCTACTCTTGCATTGTGAAGTTTAATAAAGTGACAAATTCCATGGTTCCTTGCGGGGTTGGCGATCCATTTTTTTTTTTTGCTGCCGGCCCCCTTTTTCGTACCAAAATTGACGATACGTGCAAAACTTCACCAGTCGCCAATCGCCATCACAAGCTACAGAGCCCCTTCAACGTAAAAAA